GTTCCTCTTTCTCCAGACCCTCGCCAACATCTACTATCACCTGAGTTCTTAATCTTAGCCATTCTGACTAGTGTTAGATAGAATCTCAGAGTTGTTTTGATTTTCATTTCCCTGATGACTAAGGACACTGAACATTTCTTTAGGTGCTTCTCGGCCATTTGAGTTTCTTCCATTGAAAATTCATTGTTAAGCTCTATACCCCATTTTTTAATAAGGTTATTTGGTTGTCTGGAGTCTAATTTTTTGAGTTCTTTGTATATATTGGATATTAGCCCTCTATCAGATGTAGGATTGGTAAAGATCTTTTCCCAATTTGTTGGTTGTCGTTTTGTCCTATTAATCTTAAATTCAACTCGAGACCTGAAAATCCTACATTTAGACTCAAAAGTCTTATAATGAAAACAAGATTTGAAACCCAGACAGCTTTTATTTGGGAAAATCTAAAGTTTGAAGGTATAACGAATTGTAAGGTTTTATTAATATTAATTTTATCACTTCAGTAAAAATGTCTTGGAGTCTTGCTTCACTGTTCCAGATAAATACAGAGGTTTTCAAGTTATGAAAGTGCTGGGATCCCTACAAAGAATCACTGAGAAGCTACTGCTTGAAGATACACACTTAAAGCCGTAGCTGCAATAGAGACACCAGAGTGCTGAACATACCAGACTATAGGATATAAGAGAAAAGTAAGAAGTAGAAACGAATTAGGAGGAAGGCTGTTTGGAAATAGGCTGTAGAGCTAGAGACATGGGGCTATGAAGTACTCCCAGATCACAGCTACATTATAAGTCTTAGATGGTAGAGTTTACTAAGGAGATATAGGATTTGGAGTTCATTCTACTTGGTTTTGCTATTACGTTCACTACATCATTCTCTTTTATAGATTTATCTTCACCGGCTAGTTTTCATAGACCAAGAAGGTGCTATGATTCAGTGTATGGATAGAGAAAAATTATCAAAAGTCTTAGACACCAGTGAACACTGTATATTGATATACTGAAGTATCAGTAAATGTATACTCACTAGTGTAATAGTTACATGAGTGTTTTAGAGGTAACCAAACTTCTTTAAATTGGATTTGAGGAGATTTCTATACAAGAAAACAAATGGTAGCACTGGAAATTCATCAAGAATTTGGGGAGCAGATGCAGTCCACAGAGAATGTGCATTATTGACATAATCATGCCTTGTCAATGATGCTAATGCCTCAAACCCATGGAAAGGTTTCACTGAGTCAAGCTCAGAGGAAGCAGGCCTTCTTCTTGTTCTATTATGGATATTTAAGAATGATTGACCCTTTCTTAAAACCATTTAAATGCAGAGACAATCAACTGCATCTTCCTCCTCTAGTGTGAGTGCAACCTGAGACTGCTCTCCTGCAGGGACCTCCTATGAAGATCAGTTATTCCACTTCCTCCTCTTTCCTGTTGTGTATACTGAACATGCTGTCCTGGTGCATCTCTTTCAGAGCATGTGTTCCACTCAATCATAGCTTTTCAGTACATGTTGGTTATTCCTTTTCTTCAACCTAATTCCTTCAACCTAATTCATATCAATCCCAAATCTTTGAAGATACCAGCATAAAAGTTTTTAAAGAAATTCAAGGGGCTAGGAGAGAAGGAGAGATTCTACTTCTTTTTATCATAAGAGGACATGATGGCATCCTTCTATATATTTGTGTTTATACCCATGTCTGAGCCTATATAGAGTATCTTCTCTTTCCAATGTATAGTGCTTAAATTCAAAGACCTATACATCCTACAAGTACAGAGTAAGTGATTGTTTAATGCTAATCCCTAAATGAGTCAGCTATATTATCTCCTTCCTAGATCCAGGAAATATCTTGGAACAGAATCAAGGAATATCATAAGAGCTTGAAGAAGATGAAGATTGCTATGAAACATTGTCTTCTTGATATGATATGATCATTGCAATAATGGCAAAAAAATAAAACAACCCCCTGCCAAAGTATTTGCTGATACTTGTACTGGACCTACAAAAATTCCATCATATGTATGGAGAGGGAGTCATAAATCCTCAGGTGTCACTGGGAAGCCATTGATAATTCAACTTTGCTGGTTAAGGAGCACCATTTTATTAAGGCTTGTAGCATCAAGAAAGTTGCCATGATCCAGTGAATAATCCTATATCCATATTCATAAAAGCAACTCTAAAGCCAATAGGTCAAAAACTAAAGACTCAATATAGATATAGCTGGGAAGAAAGAGTCAGTATAATTGGAACAGCAACAAGACAGTGCTCTATGTAGCCATTGTGGTCATAGTATATTTTGTACATGTACATAGGATTTTTGCTAAAAATATAAAAATATTACTAGAAGAAATGGACATTTTTATTAATATATTCGTCTTTAGATTTTAATGCATAATATGTTTCTTTAATGAACAGTGTTTGCTAGTGTTTTAGTGAAACAGTAGATATAATTTTTACAGGTTGATTGATAAATTCCTTGTGACAGAACTCAGCCCTTATCATGCTTGGTGAGTATATGCAAGTCTTTTACATAAATTATGCACAGTGACATTACAATTTATCTATAATAGTACAGTTTTCTAATCCTTAATGTGTAGGTATATGAAAATGTTTCATGTAGAACTAGACACCAAATTTTACAAACTTTGGAAGAATATTAAACTATTACAAACTCTCCAGTCAGTGAAAAAGTCTACAAAGTTATGCCTCAGATACTATTAGAGTCAGAAATTGTCCAAACCCTAAGAGAGCTAAGAGTAATTCTCACAGGTAGATGACCTCTCAGGGAACACCCATTAAACTTTGCTTGTAGTTATGGAGTGAATTTGGCTCCTTCATTTTTTTGTTTATTATTAAATCATGTTGAATATGGCATGAAGGAAGCACTTGTGAATCCTTTATGTTCACTGTCAGAATTGGTCTCCTCATTGGTGTTCTGAAAGAAGAGTTGGCTAAAACATAGAATTTTAGTTATCATTGCATGAACTTACCTCAAAAGAAAATAGGAGATGCTTGTCTTCAGGTTTTACACACAGTCAGAACAAGGTGAGACTCAAAAGGACCATTTCTGCATTTTTGGAGATATTTTTATATTTCAACAAAACGTTTTAAATTTGGATGCTGTGGTCGGGCTACTGTATGTTTAATGTCACAAATGGTGTTTCAGTTCATAATTCTGTTCCTGAAAATTCTTATTAACTGAGATGCTTGTATTCCTTACCTTTAATGAAGACTTTTACCGTCAAAGATTAGGCCATGTAGAAGTAAATGAGATGTTATCCTAGGCAACCAGAAATTAGCACTTTAAAAAAGAACTGTTCAAGTGCCTGAAAAGTAAGATGTTACTGTACAAACTCCTTTATACCTTCATTTTCTTCTTCTTTCATTCACTCTCTCTGTTCCTTCCTTCCATTTCTCTGTTCCTTCTTACTTCATAGACCATTTATTCATTTTCTTTTTATTTATTTGCTTAACTTTAATGAGATTGAAGTTATTTTTAACTTCAAATTGAAACTAAATAATATAGAGGACACCATTTTTTCCGTACAATATCCAATAAAACTTTATTATTTTTCCAAATACACACTCCATTATATACTAGTTCAGTTGCTATTCTAATGCCTGGGTTAAAAGTAGTATGCTTTGATGTTTGTACAGAAAAATGATTTAGGATCATGCCAGACAAACTGCTAGTAAGCTCAGTACAATATTGACAATGAATATAAAATGTTCTATTTCCACAACTGCATACTAACACATAACACAGGAAAGGGTATTGGTGAATTTACCTGATTTAAGTTCCTTTCATCTACTTAACTGTCTCCCAGTATTAGGATTCTACCTCTGAACTGTTTAGGAAATTAAGTGGTTGATGCTCTAGACTGTTTGAGTGGTGGTAGTCATGTCCTAGCACCTCGCTCAAAAGGATCTTAATCACTCAGATATCAAAGGAGAAGTACCAAAATTTTCATTAGGAAGGATATGGGAGGAACCAGAATTCACTTGTATTACAAAAATAGTAAGACAAGTGAATTGAACCATTTAATGAAATCAACGGAGAAACACTGAAGAGAGGAAAGAGATTAGGAATCTTTCCCTGACATCCATTTAATTTGATTAGTTTCACACTCAGAATACTTTTTAAATGGTAGATAATAATTTTAGATTAAAATATGATTGGCTTAGGAATTTTAACACAAATGTCAAGTTAAAATAATATTTAAACATTAACCTATTTTGTTACTGCTAATAACAGTGGAATTTAGCATAATGGACAATTTAAAATGTATTTCAACATCAACTTATTTTGTTATTGGTAATAGCAATATTTCACATGATTAAAATATATTTAAAGCAGCTATATAGAATGAGAATCTTTCTGTATATTCACTGTGATAATTTTAAATTTATTCACACTTTGCATTTACAAAAACATTCTGTCATCTGCAGATAGATTACTTGAATTTAGTGCTAAAATCAGTGGGAAGGAAATCGTAGGCAATAAAGACAGCTGGGCACAAGGAGAGAGACTTCCCATGATCACTGCCCAAGAAAATGGCTCAATGATCAGTTTCTTCATTTAGAGATCACGAGCAAGACCAGGGACAGCTCTCTAATGTTCTAATGCATGACTCTTAGGGACAAGAAGACCATGGATAATTTTAGAATAAAATTAATTGTAAGCCCTTACATGAAAGTATAGACTTGAAATCCAAGAGTATTTTGAGGCAGGAGAGGGCTGAATTAGCAGTGTCAGCATTTATGGAAAGAACATACTAGTTTAAGCATGCTATGTATGATGTCCTGCTATGGTAGCACATGAGTTCCACTCTTGATAATGTAAAGAATGATCTGAAAACACATATTTCATTTTTCAGAAGTTCAAAGGGAAATTGATTTTTGTGGGTTTTATATTGATATTCATTATAAAATATTTTGATAATATTAACAGTATCTATTCAGAATATTTTCACTTATGCACTGTGTAATATAGCTACAATATCAATAAATGGACATTTAATTTTTCCATGCATTTCTTACCTAACATACTATAAAAATGATTCATAGTGGAAGTCTAAATATTACTAATATTTTATTTATTATATCATGTGATTTTTATTTTGCAACAATCTTATTTTTATGTCATGCCTCTTATGTATATTTTAGGTACTTAACATCAATGATTTCTTTGTTTTAGAAACCTCTACTAAATTTAATGACAAGGAAGAAAATTGATAATCAGTAAATGTAAGTTTTATAAACTAAAAGAAAATATGATGTTGTGTCATATCCTAATGTAATCTATCTTCTTTTAATTCCTAGAATAAATTTTTAAAATGGATACTGGTATACATATCATAAACATGGTTATAATTTGAAGCTATTTTTTATATCCTCTAAGACCATTGCTTGAATAAATTTAATCAAATTTGTATAATTTTTTTAAAAAACATATTTTAACTTAAAATATCAATATTTTTAATCATGTTTACCCCATCCCCATTCTTCCCAACACTTTCCCACCTCAGTACCCCTCAATGTTTTTTCTCTATCTAAACACACACACACACACACACACACACACACACCCCGAGGTACATTCCTTTTTATTATTTTTTGAATGCACCAGTTTTTACATCAGCATATTTATGTCATCATTGTTAAACTATAGCGACATCAATAGATATTTTTATTGTTTTACAGTTTGCAGAATATCTTTAAAAAACTATGAACATGACAGGTTGTGGTAGCATATATAATAATCCTAAAACTTGGATGTAGAGAAGCAATAATCAGAAGCTTAAAGTCATCTTTGTCTAAGTGGTTATTTGGAAACCAGCTTGAGCTACATCAGACTTTTTCAGCACTCTAAACATAAAGAACCATTTGTTTTCTTTCATGGATCCAAAACCTTGAAGTCTAGCAATTTGTCTCATGGCACTTATATATTACACACAAAGTTGTTTTCAGAATATTTGACAACAGAAATGTTAAGTGAGAATTTTTTCTATCTATATAATATTTTATTTTGTCTAGTTTATATTTATTTTTTGCTTTAGAGTTGAGTTTTTCATACATGTATACAGTAAAAAGCGATAATATAAAACCCTATATTTTTCAAACTCCTACATAATCAAAAGCAAAGACCTCTGCTCTACTTTATTTTGTTGCTTTTGAACCCACTAAGTCCAGTTAATCCTGCTGCTATGTATATGGGTATTGTGCCATTCAGGGGGACATTGGAGACCTCCCAGTGGCTATATCCTCATTAATGAGTGAGTTTTACCTCCTGAAGACCAATCCATTGTCAAATGTAAGAAACCACAGAGGAAAGTTTATTTACATGTAAAACTTGTCATTTCATTGTGACACATTATTCTTTTACTCACATATTTGTAACAGTAAATATGTGTGTGCTTGCACACCCACACACATTAAATATACACACCTATATAGGTAGGTATATAGCTAAGCAATCAAAGAAAACACATTTTATGGATACATTTCCATTGTGTATATAGAAAAAAAATGTATAACATTTAATTATATCTACCTAGGAAAAGTGAATTTTATACCTAGAATATTTACATAAATGATTTATTAAATAGTTTTATGTAGGGCAGCTGGGTTTTCAAGTGGATAAATTATGACAGCATTTAAAGGGCATTTTAATGTGAGCTTCATTTAGATGTTTTTAACTTGAAACTCTTCTTAATCTTTGCATATACAAATGTAGGTTATTTATTAATGCATTTTACAGTAAATTCATAAACATTTCAAACCATATCTCTTATAAGATATTTACTTTATAAAATTTTCACATACATAATTGTAAACATAATTGGTAAATAATTAAATCTCAAGATAAGAAATTGTATTCAACTAATTGTTTCTCTGTTTTCTGTTATTTTCAAGAACTTTCATTTGTAGGTCATTGGTTCATTGGTTCCTGATCCTTTTACATTTAGTCTTTAGGTTATCAAGATACCTCACTAATACATCAACAAAATAATAGATTCTTTTACCAGTACATAGAAGAGTTGAATGTGAAAGCAATTGGAAGTTCTCACTGAGATAAAGTATTTCAATCATCCTCTTCTTCAATCTATGAAGTGATCTTGTGTCCTTTGGCCTGTGTCTTCAAAAATCCCAGATTAATCATATTTTGTTTGACCCTAGCTTCTCTAATTACAACTTTAGCACAAAACCCAGCAATACTAACTTCTGCCACTTACTGTTGAGTATTGAACATTTTTGAATTATTTCATTTGTAGATGTCACTATTAAAAATATATCAAACAAAATTTTCTAATATTTGTAGGTTTGTATGAAAACATTTAGCTTGTAACTTTTACGAATGATGCTAAATCAGAGCTTTGTCACTGAGTTCATACTCCTGGGACTTTCACAGAACCCAAAAGTTGAAAAAATACTGTTTATTTTGTTTTTCTTGGTCTACCTTGCAACTATTGGGGGAAACATCATAATTGTTGTAACAATTATATGCAGTCCAGCACTTTTTGGCTCCCCCATGTACTTCTTTTTGTCTTTCCTCTCCTTCCTGGATGCATGTGTTTCTTCTGTAATCACACCTAAGATGATTGTAGACTTCTTCTATGAGACAAAGACCATCTCCTTTGAATGTTGTATGCTGCAACTGTTTGCTGTCCACTTCTTCACGGGGGTGGAGGTGATTGTCCTCTCAGCCATGGCCTATGACCGCTATGTTGCTATTTGCAAGCCCTTGCACTACTCTTCCATCATGACCCAGAGGCTCTGTGGCATCCTGGTGGGAGTAGCTTGGTCAGGAGGCTTCTTGCATTCTATCATACAGATTATCTTCACTTTGCAGCTGCCCTTCTGTGGACCCAATGTTATTGAGCATTTCATATGTGACTTGTTCCCATTACTGAAGCTAGCCTGCACCAACACGCACATTTTTGTCATTTTGGTGTTTGCCAACAGTGGGTCTATCTGCATCATTATTTTTTCCTTATTGCTTGTTTCCTATAGTGTCATCTTACTCTCTCTGAGAGCTCACAGTTCTGAAGGGAGGCGTAAAGCACTCTCTACCTGTGGATCCCACATTATTGTTGTGCTTTTGTTCTTTGTTCCATGCATATTAATATATGCACGAAATACTTCTGCATTCTCATTTGAGAAAAATGTGTTTATATTCGCTGATGTCCTGACACCATTACTAAATCCTATGGTATACACTTTCAGGAATAAGGAAATGAAGAATGCCATCAAGAAAATGTGGAAGAGATTGTTTAATACTTCTGATAAGCATTAGATTGTCTAACTTACAGTGGTCAGGAAGTGGCTCAATTTGTAATAGAACTTGTTTTATGTGTATGCATGTCTGGACTTGGATCTTGATGTGCATTCCTCATTCCAGGACAAGTAAGACAGGTCTTGGACATCAATTTAATGGAAATACCAATTTAAGATTTCATACTTCCAGTTTCTTTACAAAACCTTTTCCCACACCAGCATCTAGGCCCTCTCTTTCCACCCCATAAACCATCGTTTTCTGGGAGCCACACTCTTTTGTCTATCAGTTAGGTACTGTTCTTTCCATATGTAATCTATACACTTCATGATTTGAAGCACTCTGGAAACATAACTCTGCCTCACCCCATAGGTCTTCTAGCCTTTCTTGGATCTCCTCATAATGCTTGTCATATTGCCCAGCTCCCTCTAGAACTCCTATAGGCTTCTTGCTTCTAAATAATCTAACTCCTTATCTATTCCTGGTAGGTCCTGTCTCTAAAGAATCCATAGGCCTCCTAAATATACAGCCAGCTTTCTAACAAGCCCTGCTGTTGATGAGTAGGATACAGAAATTTTTACTGTCTGATGGTTCACCTTTATTTAATAAATGTTAGGAGATAAAATTACTAATCTGCTAAAATATCCAAAGCACAATTCATGCCAAATAATTATTTTGTGTGAACACACAAATGTAAAATTTACTTTTGAAGACTATCTTTGGGAGATCATTGGCTGGATACTCACCAACACCTACATCCTATGTGCCTCCCCAAAAGTCTGCAGTAACCAAATATACAGGTGAGAATCTCGCCCAGATACTCAAGAGAGCTGGGACAACCATGAGGCACAGCTTATGAGACCCAATCTCACAACACCCCCCCAAATACACTCCCCTGAGCCCCTGAGTTCCACCTTTCTTCCTATCTACTTCCTACTTCAGGCCAGATCAGTGGCCTGATAACTGCCCACACTCTATAGCCTGCATGCCTCCAAGGGGATCTGTTGTAACTAGAGAAACAGAGTCCAGTTGATACAAAGGTCACTTGCCCCACCAGGATCTACCTTCCTTTTGGTCTACATCTCCACCCAAGTCAGATCACCAGGCCTCATACTCTCATACATACCATAGCCTGTTGCCTCCCAAGAGGTCTGAAGTAATCAGGGACACAGCCTACCTGCCTCCCAGGAGGTCTGTAGTAACCAGGGAGACAAGAGACCTGCTCTTTCCAGAGACACAAGAAGCCAACCTTATCCAGAGACAGCATCGCCTGCCTCCAAGGAGGTCAGATCTACTCAGAGATACCAAGGCCAGTTAACACCAGAGATAACCAGATGGCTAGAGGCAAGTACAATATCACATTAGACAGAACCAAATGCAATTCAACACCACCACAACCCAGTTTTCCCACCACAGCACGCACTGGATACTCCAACATGAATTAAAAGCAAGATAATGATCTAAAATCTCATCTCATAAATATGATAGAGACCTTTTAGGAGAATATAAAGAACTCCTTTAAAGAAATAGACGAAAACACAGGTAAACAGGTAGAAGTCCTTAAAGAAGAAACAAATAAATCCCTTAAAAAAATACAGGAAAACACAATCAAGCAGGTGAAAGAATTGAACAAAATGGTCCAAGAACAAAAATTGTAAATAAAAACAATAAAGAAAATACAAAGTGAGGCAACCCCAGAGATGGACAACTTAGGAAAGCGATCAGGAGCTACAGATACAAGCATAACCAACAAAGTGCAAGAGATAGAAGAGAGAATCTCAGGCATAGCAGATACCATAAAAAATATTGAAACATCGGTCAAAGAAAATAAAAAGTGTAAAAAGCTCCTAACACAAAATATCCAGGAAATTAAAGACACAATCAAAAAGTCAAACCTAAGAATAATAGGGATAGAGGAGGGTGAAGTATCCCAGCTCAAATGGCAAGAAAACATCTTCAACAAAATCGTAGAAGAAAACTCCTTAAACTAAAGAAAAAGATGGCCGTAAATGTACAAGAAGTCTACTGGACACCAAATAGATTAGACCAGAAAAAAAAATTCCTACCATCATACAATAATCAAAACACTAATGCACAGAACAAAATATGACTATTAAAAGATGTAAGGGGAAAAGGGGCAGACCTATCAGGATTACACCAGGCTTTTCAACAGAGACTCAAAAAGCCAGAAGATCTTGGACAGATGTCATCCAGACACAAAGAGAACACAAATGTCAGCCCTGAATGCTATACCCAGCAAAACTCTCAATCACCACAGATGGAGAAACCAAGATATTCCATGACAAAACAAAATTTAAACAATATCGCCTACTAATCCAGCCCAACAGATGAAACTGGAATGAAATGTCCAATACAAGGAGCATGCGTATAACTAAGAAAACATAAATAATTAAATATCTTACAACATACCCAAAAGAAGAGAATCATACGTGTATAATAACATCTCCAACAACAGATATAAAAGGAAATAACAATCATCTCTCTTTAACATCTCTCAACACCAATGACCAAATTCCTCATAAAAAGACATGAGCTAACAGACTGGACACACAAGCAGAATCCAGCCTTTGCTGCATATAGTAGCATACCTCAATGACAAAGACAGATGCCACCTCAGAATAAAAGGCTGGACAAAAGTTTACCAAGCAAATAGTCTGAAGAAACAAGCGGAAATTGCCATTGTAATATCCAATAAAATAAATGTTCAACCAAAAGCTATTAGACAGAATAGGGAAGTTCTATGACAAGAATTTCAAGTCTCTCAAGAAAGAAATAGAAGACTTCAGAAAATTGAGAGGTCTCCCATGCTCATGGATTGGTAGGAGTAACATAGTGAAAATGGCCATCCTACCAAAAACAGTCTATAGATTCAAATTAATCCCCATTAAAATTCCAACAAAATTCTTCCAAGACATGAAAAGAGTAAATGTCAATTTTATATAGAAAAACAAAAATCCCAGGATAGCAAAAACAATAGTCAACAGTAGAAGATTTTCTGGGAGAGTCACCATCCCTGACCTTAAGCTATGCTACAGAATCATAGTGATTAAAAACTACGTGATATTGGTACAGAGACAAGTTGATCAATGGAATAGATTTGAAAGCACAGAAATAAACCCGGACACTTATGGACACTTGATCTTTGACAAAGAATTTCTTCAAGAAAACACAAAAGACCTTGAAGGTGAGAGACTCTCAGGACTCAACGGAAGTGACCTTAGATGAAATGTCCAACAGTGAGGAGAAGGAACTCAGAGTCCACCTCCAGTAGATAGACAGAGCCTCAAGTGGAGAGAAGGGGTTGCCAACCCACAGTCAAAATTTCTGAACCATAATTATTCCTGTGTAAAAGAACTACAGTGACAAAAATGGAGAGGAGACTGAGGAAATGGCAGTCCAGTAAGCTGCCCACTGGGGATCCATCTCATGGGGAGGCACCAAGGCCTGAGACTATTACTGATGCTATGGTGTGCTTACAGACAGTACTCTCCTCCGAAAGGCCCAACCAGCATCTGACTGAGACATAAGCATATACTTACACCCAACTAATGGACAGAAGCCAGAGAACCCTATGGTTGAGTTAGGGGAAGAATGGAAGAAGTTGACACGGAAGGCAACCCCAGAGGAAGAGCAGCAGTCTCAACTAACCCGGTTCCCTGGCAGCTTCCAGAGACTGAGCCAGCACTCAGGTAGCATCTACAGGTGTTTTCAGGCCCCCTGGATGCATATATAGCCGAGGATTGCCTAGGGTAGACTTGGTGGGAAAAGATGTGGCTCATCCTGTAGAGACTTGTGGCCCCAGCAAGTGAAGAGGCCTAGTAGGGGGAGGTGAGTTGGAGAAGTAACTTCTTTGAGACCGGGGGGAGGAGGAATGAGATGAGGAACTGTGGAAGGGGTGACTCGGAGATGGGACAATGGTTAGATTATAAATAAATAAATAAATAAATAAATAATCAAAATAAATAACAAAAATCAAAAGAAAAAATCCAACCAACAACACAAGAAATAAAAAAGAAAAATAAACAAAACAAAAACCAGGTGGCTTGTTATGGTGAAAAATCATCAAATGTTATACTTATCTCAGGTCTTTCAGTGTTAAAATATGGGGCTGGTAGATAACAATTTTCCACTGATGTAATAGTAACATAGCAGTTTGTGGGATAACTAGTCCTTTTCACATCTTGGTTGGATTTGTTTCTTTTTTTTTTATCTTTTTTTATTTGTTTGTTGATTTATGTTTTTATTGCTAAGTTGACAAGATGTCCAATTGCCTCTTAAATAATCACTTTTTCAGCATGAACTATTTAAACTTTCAGCTTCCTTTAGAATTTGGCAGAGTTTAATGCAGAGAATTTTAGCTTTTGTAAATACTGAGGATAAGTAATGATGACTGCTGCTCATCTTTTAACGAGACAGCTACAATAGCCCCTTCCAATATCAGGAAGTATCTCAAAATAGAAGATAGAATACAATGTAAAACATGGAGAATGGGAAGTGTGTTATGATACATTGTCTGGTGGATATTTAATGGTCAGTGAACCAAGAAAAACCTATCAAGTTTGGATATCTGAAACCAAAAGACAAAAACAAAAAATAAAAACTAGCATTTGACCAGAACCTTCAACATTATATCATGATGCTCCACTTTTTACTAAGGAGCTACAGACAGTTAAAGTTAGAGAGGGGTAGTATTTTCTTCGGGTATGTAGGTCTAGGTGAGTTCTTCTTGGTTTAGTAATTAGCCACATATCTCTGCTCATATAGGCAACTCTTACTAAATTCAGTAGCTAAACAAAAAGACATGACTATAAGGAAGGGAGTAATTGATAATAAGGCAATCTGGAAAATTAGGAAGAGGAGAAGAAATCATTATGAATAGTCAGTATGATTATAGTATACTGTATACATGCATAAAATTGTCAAAACCAAGTAAAAGATAAAGAAAATATTCTTAGATAAAATAAAAAAATGTTCCTATGAATATATATATTTCAGCTATT